AAGCTTCTAAAATCTGCCCTTTGAAGTACTTCCCAAAGGAAGATAAAGTGCCGCTGATGCCACAGATTCTATCCTTGGTGTTAGGACAGTTACTACCACTGAGCTTCCAAGTTAAACCTGGAACCTTAGGAATCTCTGGTTTCATTTTGTGAAGAACCTCAGGAATAACAAGCACCAGTGAAGTACTCAAAAGTCCACTGGGAGAAATTACAGTGAAGAACAAGGCAGAGATAGAACGCAGCTGGCACGCACACGGTCCTCCAGCCAGCCCTCCTGCACCCCATGCTGGAAAGGAGTGGGAACCCACGAAGCAGCTCTGCCAAGGGCCACAGGCTGGGTCTGTCCTCAGCACAGGCAGCTTTCAGCTTCCCATTTCAGTTTCTGCTCCATCTACAAAGCGGCCTTCAGAAACACACAGCAAAGGATCTACCGACGCTCCTAAGCCGCCGCTGACTCGGCCATTCTTCCCAGTCAGCGATGCCTTCTCTGCCCAAGGCAGGGCCATCTCTCTCCCACGCTGCTTGGACATCATGGATTCAAATTTCTGTAATGAACTTTGTGATCAGAAATCCAAGAACTATACCTGACAAGTTGCTTACTCTGTCAACACCTTAGCCCTGTGATGAGCACTGCTCCGTGCTCCCGTGAAGATCCAGCACCTTCTGCTCTCACCACGTCTGGTGCTTGTTCAAAGAACTGTGCAGAGCCACAGGTGTGGCAAATGCTAATAATCAAGGGATAAACAAGACTGCTGTTCACCCTCCTGTCTCTCCAGGTGACACCGCCAAGACTTCTCTAATAAATGGCTCACTGGTCCATTTGGAAAAATGCCAAACTACAAACCTGCACACACTGCTGTTACCGACTTGAGGGGCTCATTCAGAAAAGGCAAAGCCACGGTTACATCAACATACACGGCTCGGGTTTCCTTGGTGCTGCAGCTCTAGTAGTGAAACAGATATCCGCTGCCCCTTCGCACTGTGGCCGCATACAGAACACCCACCTTAGCCAGGGCATGGGCAGCCTTGCCCTGGACTCCTGATGCAACACTCTCAAGCCCCCATTAACTGTTTTGGTTTTTTTTCATTTATGTATGTAGTACAGGGTCTCACTATGCAGTGGGGACTCATAGTGATCCTCCTGTTCTCAGTCTCCCCAGTGCTGGGATTACAGATGTACACCACCACAACCTGACTCAGTCCCCAGCTCAGTGTGCCCCAGGAACAGGGCCAGCATGGCATGCAGGACCAGGGACCAAACCCCCTGGTCCCTGCGCTATTCCCCCGGCCCTTACAGCTGTCTTTAGCCAAATTGTTTGAACTACCTCAGTTAATTTTCGCTACATTATTTTCTTTTTAAAGGGCTATGAGATTTCAAAAAAAAAAAAAAAAAGTCTTCTGCTTCTTTTCAGAAGCAGTGCACCAGGTTCTTTTAGACTCCATGGCACCATGACAAGTTTCCACCGACACCCACAGAAACCAGCAGGTAGGAAAAAGCCATGCCCTACTTATTTCCAAAACCGGGCTGAGGGGACAGGGTAGACAAAAGGACTCATAAATGCAATCAACTTTCACTTTAATATTCTTTAATTTCAGCTAGAATTCTAGTTAACAGTGGTGACTATAAAAAGATTGTCAAAACTTTCAGGAATTGGGGCTGAGGAGATAACTCAGTAGAGTAAGTGCTTGCCTGGCAAGCGCAGGGTCCTGAGTTCAATCCCTGGTCACACACACACACACACACACACACACACACTCACTCACTCTTTCAGTACTCAAAAACAAGAGGGCTGCCCAAACAGCTCGGCCAAAGAACTCAGAGGATTAAAGTTCTGCTTAGGCAGAGTGCCGCAGTCCGGGACTTCCCTGGGTGTGCGTGCCCGGGGCATGCTGAGCCAGTAATTGAGACTAGGTGTGGTGGCACCTGTAATCCCACCTTTTTGGGAGGCTGAACACAGGCAGATCACTGTAAGTCTGATCTACATAACGAGACCGTGTAGACCCTTACTAAAAAATAAAATAAGTATTTAAAAAAACAAACACCTTTATTTTTGCTGTCTTCTCAGCCAATGTCTTTTACCACTCATTGTCCTTACACGATCTTACACCAAATATTTTGAAGAAAATTAAAACTTTTAAGAATAAAACATTTGGGCTGGGGAGATGGCTCAGTGGAATAAGCGCTTCCCTGGCAAGCGCAAGGGCCTGAGTTCAATCCCTGGTTCTGCCAAAAGAAAAAAGAAAGAAAGAAAAAGGATAAAACATTTCACAACTGTTTCTTCCCTCCCCACAGAAATGTTATCTTTCTAAAATGTTCAAAACAATCGCTAAGCCATTTAAAATGAGCAAGTCTTCATGGACTCTACGTGTACCTTACACTCTGCACCCGCCTTAATGACGACATGAAGCACTGAGGAAGGAACACTAGAAGCTTGGGCACAAAATACACAGACACAAGAAGACTATAGATCCCACTCCGGAAAGAATGCACCAAACACATTCACATTTATTTTTTCTTTTTTTTTTTTTTCTTTTTCTTTTTTTTTTTTTTAAAGCAAATGACAGAGACCCAGTTTACCAGCTTTTATAAACCTAAGCTTAACATTACACATTTAAACAATTGTCAAAACTTTACTAAGTTGCCAGCATCCATGCACAACTAGAAAACATCCTTAAATTTGTATTGAACCAGAAATGTATTACCATTA